ACGATTAAAAACAAGAAGCATGGAAAGAGTAGAGGGTCGAGTTACTGCCTTTGCTCCCTCTTAATAGCTGTGGTGTGTGAGGTAAAGGCTTTCTCAACCAGCACTGTTAACTCTAGACACACTCAGTTCCAGAGACGAACCAGGGACCCCACGTTCCCAGTAACTCACTTCTGTACATTTCCTCCAAGGCTGCAAATTAACTCTTTACCTACGATTCCATGTTATGCTTACAACCTCCCCAGTTTCCATCTTCCAAACCAGGGGTGAAGGGGAGGCGGCACTAACAACGGCACTAATATTCTCATTCACAGAAAAATAAGCCGAGGTCCGGAAGCCGAAGCTCTTGGTCTGAGGCCAGACAGCAGAAGGGCGCTCCCAGCCGGGCCTCCCTTCTCTGGCTGGATCCTCTTCCCACGGGACCTGGCCCCACATGTTCCCCTTCTTCAGTTCAGGAAAGAAAAGGGCATTGCTTTGGGTTTAGGGAAAGGGCTTTCCTCTCTCCGACGGTGTAACGGATGGAGATCGTGTCTGCCCGTGCCCAGCACGTCCGCCCGCCCTCCTGTAGGCGTCCCACCTCCCGTCTCAGGAAGCGGGCAGGGCCGATGGTGTCATGGGATCAGAATCATTTAGTGAAAACATTTTTCCTGTGGCAAAGCAATACATTTTATTTTTCAAATGAGTTAGAATGGTTAGATATGTTGTTTATAATATGGAAAAGCTTGATTGGGCTGAAGTGTAAGACTAGGGTTTGGTTGAATAAACTACTGTGAGCCCTATCGTGGGACAGGATGCCACCATTAAAATGAGTGAATATTAGAAACATGAGGAAAACAATCCCCGTTATTGAGAAAAAGTGGTTACAAGTCCTATGCACACTATCCCATATTTTTAGAAAGCAGCATGTAAGGAAGCAGCAGCAGCAATGGTTAGGAATTGACTTTATGTGCCCACACTGGTATCTCAGTCCTGTCAACCACACTGAAATACAGGGAACCACCGCCTGCAAGAAATACCACATGTGACAGGGGCTTCATTCCTTCATGATTTCCTGCAATAGTCACAAATTAACTTAACAATAGTTACCAACAGAGGACTAGCCGTATGGGCACTGAAGCAATAGGAAAAACGCTGTGCTTAAGGAGCAGCAAATGTGACAGCAGGACATGAGGATGAAAAGGACGGTTTAAGGCTGCAAATACCCAGGTAGCAAACGCACAATCTTAGAGCCGGAAGAGATCATAGGAAACATCACCATCCAGTTGCACCCCTTTCGCTTTAAGGGTAAGAAAAGGAAAGCCCAGGAGCGAAGGCACTTGTCCCAGATGCCCCCACGCCCTGGGGCGGGGCCAGGGCCAGAATCCCAGTCCTCTCATGTCCCATGGCCATGAGCTTCCTGCTGGCCTGCACGGCCCCGCATTGTGAGGTACGTCAATGGGGTCAGTGTGCAATGGGACAGCCTCAGGACTGACGGAAGGAGTGAGCAGCTTGGAAGCTAAGTAATGGCCGTGCTGCTTAGAAACAGTAGCATCCGCTGGAATCAAAATGAGGCCCCAGAGACCCCGCCCAGAACAGAACACTCCTCTTGGGCTCTTTTTGCTCCACTGCGATGTCCAGCCACCGCCAGCCCCGCCCCCCCAACCTCTTCAGTGGCATTTGAAATGCTGCCTCTGAAACTTCCTTCCCAGTCCGTGGGGAACAGGCTCTGGGCCCCACCATCCACACCCTGAGCAGCCCGGGGACCAGGGCACTTCACTCTTCTGTGCACAGCCCCTAACATTGGCACCCCAGCTCCCTGGGCGTGGACATCCTCTCAATGGGCATGGTGCCCATGGGCACCCAGAAGTTACTCAGCAGGCAGGCCTGGGAATGAACCACGGGATCTCCGAGCTTCTACCTGCTTATCAACATCAGCCTAAGAGTTCTCTCTGCTGGAGGCAGCCAAGGACACATTGATTTTGACCAGAAGCAGTAAAATGATAGACTGAGCCCAAGACTAGAAGCCACAACCAGGGCTTCTTGCAGTTTGCAAATCGATGATCACAATCATCGCTGTGTCACGACGACAGCTGTTTACATTTCGGAATTAACAGATAACACCTCCCAGCACACACACACACACACACACACACACACACGCACACACACACACGCACGCGCACACTCCAGCACTCGCTCTTCTCTTGCTCGGCAGTATCACATTGTGCTCAAGAGTGGACTTCGGCATCAGGAAGAACTGGATTCACATCCCAGGCTCATCCCTTGGCAGCTCCGAGGTGCAGTATCTGACCTCTCAGAGCCTCAGCTCCCTCATCATCAAATGGGAAGGATAACACTACATGGCAGTGCTGTGCTGACTCTGTGGATGGCGATAATGCATACAATACGAAAGAACCTAAGTATCTAACACTTTATCTGCTTGGGTCATTATTGATTCCCTGAGCCTAGAACACTGCCTGGCTCAGTACATGTTGTTGAATGAATAAATGACTTTCTACCATCATTGCCAACTGTACAATAAATGGCAACGCTTTTTTTTTTATTGTCTAAAGTTTTACATATGTCTCCTTTTCCCCCAATTGACCCTCCCCCCGCCCCCCAGCCATTCCCACCCAGGGCAAGCCCCCACCGCCCCAGTGTCTGTGTCCATTGGTTATGCTAACATGCATGCATACGAGTCCTTTGGTTGCTCTCTAACCGCCCCCCACCCGTACCATTTGTTTCTAGATCGATCTATTCTTGTTCATCAAATTATGTTGATCATTATATCCCACATATGAGTAAGATGATGTGATATTTATCTTTCTCCGACTGGCTTATTTCGCTTAGCATAATGCTCTCCAGTTCCATCCATGCTGTTGCAAATGGTATGTGCCCGCAACCAAGGTACATGCCCTTGACTGGAACCGAACCTGGGACCCTTCAGTCTGCAGGCCAACGCTCTATCCACTGAGTCAAACCGGTTAGGGCAATAAATGGCAATTCTTGCAAGAAGTTCGGTATTAGGCCTTTGTTACACAGCTGTCCCCTCCACCTGTGCGGCCACCACGCAGCAGATGGCGGGTACAGACCATGGACATCCGGTTCCCTTCTCTGCCCAGGCTGTCGGAACCTCAGTGTACACCACAGGACAAAGATGTGGGTACTGGATGAACTCTGTTAGATCTGGAATGCTTTGTAGCCTCTGGAATTCATGGGTGAAAACACTGTCCGAGTTGGGCGACTTTAGACTTTAGACTGAAGCGTGCCACTTAGTATCCCCCGCCCTGGCTCAGAGCTCCTGGTCCACTGACAGGAAGTAGTGCTCTTGATAATAAATTTTTTAAAATATATTTTATTGATTTTTTACAGAGAGGAAGGGAGAGATATAGAGAGTTAGAAACATTGATGAAAGAGAAACATCGATCAGCTGCCTCCTGCACACCTCCTA